AGCCAAACCGTAATATTCGGGATTGCGCCACGCATCCGTTTTTATTTGATATTGCGAAAGTGGCTGGAAAGCCAGATGGTGTTTTCATTGCTGAAAACNGTCTGGGGGTCTGTTGAAGAGAGGGAGCAAAGAAAAAAGGCTGCGAGGAGGGTGGTGGGTGCAGATTGTCCAGGGGTATGCACGATGGGTGGTCATGGAATGGCAGATCAATTGACTGTGGGCTGCCCTGTGTGGGCACGTATTGTCTACACGATTGATTTGTGGGGACCAATTCAACGAGGTGGGATTGGAATTACATTCTCATTCTATCTTGCGACTACCGCTCTTACTTCCATGTTGTATTCCAGGCTTCGTAATTGCTGTTCTAGCAAAATTTAAATCTCTCTAAATTCTTTTGGTCGGATCGGAACCGTTCACTTCGTGCTCTGTGTGCGAATGCCAACCAACTGAGCTGCTGAGAACACCTACTATTGCGTATCGACACGGCATGGCGTTCGTATTTGGCCATTTTCGAGGACCACCAGCTCTCGGCAGCCAAAGAAAATAGGGTCTCCGCACAAGGTGTACAGAGTGCATCCCTGAGAAAACTCAGGACCTGAAAAGAAAGCGAAAGCTATTTTTCGTGTGTGGACGAAAGAGGAGAACGTGGTTTTCAAGGAACTGACAACGTTGGAGCTTCAGAAAAATGAAGCTAATGGCTTTGATGCTTAGCTTTCTTTTGAGAAAGTTCGGTTCGACCTTGGAGTGACTCCGGTTGAGTAATTTCCCTTGAATGTACAACATTAAAACAATTCCAATAAAAATTTTTGGGTGGTTATTCTCTACGTCGACCCTAAGGCATTTATTTGAAAACTGAAGACACTATAGTATAACATTTATTCGAATAAAAATCAAAGCAAACGAAAATCAAGAAATACACTTCAAATCCCAAAATAGACACTTTGAAACCATTCAAATAGTTAAAATCGAAAGTTAGCCAGCTTCAAATATAGTCGTGATGTAGTCGTCACTAGCAACAAGCAGGTTCGAAGGTTAAATGAGGAAAACTCGGAATTGCGCCATGCCTTTGTTTTTATCAAATATTGCAAAACTGATTGCGATGTGCGATGATATTTACATTTTCAAAAGAGCAGTTCACGATAATTTCGGATTACCCAGATGAAACAAGAAATGAAAGAGAAGGTGTAAAATAGTGCAGTGGAAGCGAAGGAAGCACGAAAATCAGTGTTTCCAAAGGGATAAGAGGCTTCAAGATGTTGTTCAAAACGGCTTGGACGAGAATAAGACCAAAAAATGATGTGGAATGGGTGTTTGGACGAGCTATACAATGTGAGTCATTGCGTACAGCTGACTACAGTAAGCAAAAATGTCTCTTACAGCCATTAAGTCTAGTCTTAAGTTAACAAAAACGCGACTAACAACACAAATAACCTTGTTCATCCTCGTAAGGTAGAAAACTAGAAAAATGATCGCAGCAGCAAAAAGAATAACAAAGTGACAGTAAAACATTCCCTCATCACTCGGCGATCAGCTGAATGCATGCTGAACTTGTGGGTCCTGGTGCGAATAGCGCAACCTGTATCGCCTCGTCACTCGTCTGACATATCATCCGTCGGAGGGCGTGGACGTCGGCGATTCCGGTAATGGAGCTCATGTTAGCCCTAGTCTCGAGTTTTCGGGCCCAACAGCGTCCTGTGTTTTACCCTTGGGGGCCACTGACTAATTCCAGGGGAAATCGTAGGAACCATTTTTATCGTGGACTGTGCCTTTAAAAACGAAGAGAGGTTAGCTCGTAGTATTTTCCAGTATGCCCTCACTAAGAGCTGCAAGTTGACACCATCAAAGACATCAAACCAAAAATTCAGTGTTGCGCCATGCATGTGCTTTATTCATGGACTGGCGGAGCGATGCGAAGGTTCAATGGTACATTAAAAAATGAGATAAATCAGCTTCTAATTTCTTAGTGTGACGTGCTCATCAGGAGCTACAGGCTGATACCACCAAAGATACTAAGTTAGAGGGAGCGGTGCGCCATGCTTTCGTTTTCACCAGATGTTACGGTAATGGTTGGAAGGTAATATGATACGCACACACAAATTTTCCGTTCATGGCGTGCTCATCAAGAGCTGCATAGCCAAACCGTAATATTCGGGATTGCGCCACGCATCCGTTTTTATTTGGCTGGCTGGAAAGCCAGATGGTGTTTTCATTGCTGAAAACGAATGCTGCCAAGCCCAAAACATCACGTTTACAACGTTCTCGTCAAGATAAGCTCGTGCCACCGGACTGGTGAAATCGAAAATTCGGTATTCCGCCATGTATTCGTTTTTCCGTATGTTGCGGATTACTTGAAAGGCTCAACTGCTTCCAGATGGGTATGATAGGAAGCTGCTCCCTCTGTGTAAGGTACTCGTTCAGAACTACAAAGTGGTAGCTAAAGTGATAATTTATAGTGGATGGGAAAAATCTAATGATTTAGGTCGTGCTATGCACAAAAGTTTTCGGAAAGCTGCTGGAATGACAGGGAAGTAGTGAGTTGCCATCTTTGAGTGCAAAAGTTTGACAGTTCTCCAATTATTTGGTTCATATAGTCGTCTTAGGAATAATCCCTCCCAGATTTGCCTTGCAAATGGGTGCCCCCAAATTGCGACAACGTGATTGATAGTCCCAAATTGAATTCTATCAAAATAAACTAAATGAACTACATGAGTGATTATCGTTTCTTTGTTGTTCTTCGTTGTAATCGCTGTTTTCCTCGAAAAGATGAGAGCTGATGTCTTCAAACTGTAGGTATATCGGAATTATTAGGTATACTGCCCGCCCGACTCAATCCAAAACCAGTTCTGAAGAGTTTCTACGCCCTGAAAATGACTCAGCTGTAAATTTAATAAAAGTAGGCGAGTATTCAAGGTCGATGAATTGAATTATGATCGTTTAAATTCCCCGTGAACTTGCCAAAATGTCACAAATACCTAAGCTGTTGGAATTGCCAGCCATAAATTCAAACATGCAAAACAATTGACGAGAGTGGGATTCGAACCCACGCCCCCGAAGGGACTGGTGCCTAAAACCAGCGCCTTGGACCGCTCGGCCATCTCGCCTCTGCACAGCAGTAGGGAATGCGCTACTTGTTTACAACCCATTTGGAAGCTCCATTACCTCTAACCAAATCAAATATGTTTCTGTGGGAAAGCTCAAGGTGGGTAGTTTTGAGTACCAAAAAACAGTTGCCCATGATAGGATTCGAACCCACGACTTGAATGACAACGTTTAGGACCTACATGCTACATCTCCAGATGTCCTGGTTCGCATTCGCGGTAGATTCCCAGCGACAGCAGTCTTTAGAGGAAGAAATCGCTTAACCAACCTATTCTTATGAGCTATACAACATTTTCAGAGAACAGATTTAGGCTTCCATCCCAAACTACCTACACAGGCATCATCCAATGTAAGTGGCCGACCTGATCTTCAGACCTCCCTTCGTAATTTATTGAAATTGGTGGTCGTAGAGTTTTTCCTTCACTGAGCACTTTCCCCCACCACCCTGAATAAGCCCTCTTTCTTAATCATCCCTAAAAAGGAAGAAAATTGTTCTATTCTGCAAGTCACGCCTGTAGCTTACCTGCTGGATACCGGATTATTATTACCCCTTCCTTCAGAGTACCCAAATGTGGTCTTTGGGAAACACGATCATCACCATGAAGCGATTAGAATCATTCGAATGGCTCTATCCTTGCAATGATGATTTTTTGAAAGATCATTTTTATGTCCCCCCCCCCCCCCCCCTCCCCTCCCCTATCACACAATCTCCTCAAAAGGAAACTCTGACACAGATGACCAAGCAGTTCGTGAACTGGATTATCGTAGTCATGCTTGATCGCCGTCTATAATATATGATCCTCAGCGCAAATATCGGAGTGTGTGTGTGTATGGGTGTCTTATGCAAAGTGCAGAGCGAAGTGAAATCGCCATGTCATGAGACATGAGATGAACGACTTATGGCCCGTACTCGATTAATCCCACTCTTTCTATGCACCAACACTTTGTGTATGCTCCCATAAGCTCATTATTAACAGACTGCATCAACCGCTCTGAACATGGAACAGTTCCCTTACAAATCAAAGAGGTTGAGACGAAGTGAACTAATCAAGTAAAAGTAAGGACTCTGTCCCGGCTGAATCACTCCTATGACACTCCTCGCGGGTGGGACTTGACGCAGACTATGAAAACCTCTTCTTACTGTCTCGCCGGCTTATATTCATGTCAGAAGATGCCCTCAAAACAAAACATCTACGATTGGAGTGAAGAAGCCTGGTGGACTTTTCCCACAATTTTGTAATACTGGTATGGAGTCGATAGATAAAAATCCTTTATCAGGGAAGTACAAAGGCACTGAGATTCATAACCAGTTAACAAAGTGTGTCTACAGATCGTACACAGAACTGATGACCATAAATAATAAAGAAATAAGTTAAGGCAGTGAAGCTTCACGTAAAAAATCACATGAGCGAATCAGAAGTGACTGTGATAGGAATAGTGTGAAAACAAGGACGACACAATAGTGTCGAAAAAATCCACAAACAGCGGCAACTTAAAATCCCGATTCAGAGGGACGAACTTCCGCGAATACGATGTCCACTTGTTGTCGTTTACGCTTTTCCACCACCTAACTGGACCCGACAACAAATGAATCCATTGTCGTTTCCGGTATACAGACATGCCGAATTATCCGGACAGCTTTGAGGTGTTCCAGCTCGTGCATACCTGAATAATAGAAGAGTTCACCATTTTCATGGCCCATCAGTTTGCTGTGTGGTATGTAGACCACTGGCGCGTGCGGTTGCGAAGCGGCTGGCTGAATTTCATGGTGCGTAGAGCGGAATTGACCGAATCAATTGTCTTTATTGCATTCTTGCGCTATTGGGTGAAAGAAGTCAAGCCAACCACTGCGCACTCGCTCGCCCTGGCAATCCTGCACAGCAACGGAAGTTAGTTGGATTAACTCACGGATTGCAGGTACGGTAATTGCCGGCCAACTCTACTGGAACAAGGTTTGCCGGTTGTGGTGGACAGACGTTGGGCAATCGGACATCAGACTCCAATCCGCAGCAAATGTACCTGCAACAATGGATATTACTCGATTTCTAATGATCCTAAATGATACCTTACCTCTCAAGGTTTGTACTGAATTGGCAATGCCTATTGGCTCCACATCCTTGGATCGCGTCGTTGAGTGGTGCTGACGGTGAACAGTACTTGTACTGTGCTCCACCTTCTCCCGGTACAGGTACCAATTGAGGTGGACAGTCTGGAAACACAATTTTTTGAAATAGTTTTCAAGCTATAGTTCCATACGCCCCGACAGAGACGCAGGAAAGAGTGCTTCTGTTTCTCATAGACTCTTTCCTGACTTTGTCGGATTTCAACATGATTCCTCTGAAAATACATTGTCCAACGTCAACTCACATCCAGTGTCTACGCTATCCGGTGATCGACAGCAGTAGAAAGCGTTGACCGAAGTGGCAGTGGTGGAGAACCAACAGAAGAAATTGCCCGGGCACGCTCCATCCACATTCGGTGTACATTGCATTGGTTGAAGGGAAAGCGCCGAGATGAATGGGGTCGAAGAGGTGGGACAAAGAGCTGAAAGAAAAGCGACCGATGATATGAACATCCGGAATTCGAAAATCGGAACAGAAAATCCAGTTAGGATAAGACAATAGGACTTGTAGAGAAGTTTTTTGAAACGACTTTTGCTCAGGCTCGCGACTCGCTCATCTATGTAAGTTGCTCACCTTCCCGGGATTCATGTCACTTTTAGCTCCGAAAACTCCCTTCCAAAGTTAACTGTATCCCATTGAATCTCTTCGAAACCATGAACAGGCGTTTTTATGACTCATGGCGCAAGTAGGTAATGTTTCCTTTATAAAATACAGCAGATCTCTTTTCACGGTGAACAGCTCTCTCAGGAAAAACTGGTTAATTCCGGGATTTCTTCGTATTTGAGCTGTACATTGAGAAGATTCTCTCCAACTCCTCCCTTCGTCTACTCGTTCAGCCCTTCCCCGTTGTACTTACATTGAAGTTCAGTGCTGGCACCGCAACATACACTCTGATCCAGTAATGGAGATGAGTAGCACGTGTATCCATCCGGACATCCACCAGACACTCGTCCTTGACCACCTGAATTGTCGTAATGAACTGTTTATTTGGAAAAGTAACATCTGGAAGTTAAGGTCGATTAAAAAAATGCTGACCCGGATTACTGCACTGAATCAAACGGCTGCCGTCTCCATCCTTGGCAACAACCGTTCCCGGCGGACATGCCTCGGACAGACAATAGTTTTGGCACGACTTTTGCGACGCGAAGTTATTTCGATTTCCTGGAAAGAAAAGCAAATCATCTCGCACAATCTTCAAAAAACAAAATGTAAAATGAATTGGAAACAGGTTCATGAAGCTCTCATCTATCCTTCGACGGCGGTTGGTCTATGAAGAATGGCGTCAGCACTGAGCGCATGACTTGAAGATTATATCAAGGACCAAATTAAACGGGGGCTAATCGGGCATTCCATTGTTTGGGCCAGATTGATTCGCCTCGGATAGTACGCCCTCCTATTTCGCTACACTCAAAGTTTGGTTATTCTTATTCCTAACCAGAAAACGATATGTAGAATCGATTGGGAATTGAACTAGAGGAGGAGAACGAATACAATTTGACTTTCTGAGCAGAGACTATTAGCTGGAAACGCTACGATCCCACCTCGAGCTTTTTTCCGGAACCTAAAAACACTTCCAAATGACTAGACAATTTCGAAAAAAAAATTAGGAACGGCGCAACCACTTTAGGAACGATGGGAAGGGATTTCTCCAATATATCCTCATTAAACTTTTGCTGCATAATAGAAATCCCCTCAAACATTTCTTCAGAAAGAAAGCGGAAGTTAAATAATCTCCAACTTACGGTTCGGAAGCAATCTTGGAAGAAGAGCCCCTCTAAACGCTTTCAGTTACCCTCCAGTTTGGAAGACCCCGCTCTCCCGTCTCCTCAAAAACGCCGACCAGTGATATCCAAATGTCCAAAGCTAAGGATGCTTACCTTCACAACCGTTGTACTCGAATGTCTGACAGCTTTTCGAATCAGCATTGAAGTACCATCGGGTAATTCGTGTACTCGAACATCGCACCCCAACATCTCGTGGTTGGGAGCATACAAAGTTCTTCGATGGACAGCACAGCGATTTGGTTTGGTACACAGTTCCTGAAAAAAGAGCAGACCCCTCCATCTGATGTCATGGAAACACCTAAACATCGGCACTCTACAGTACTCAATGCTTTTAATAATGTTCAGTAACACACGAATTATTTGAATACTCAAACTTATGATAAGGTTATATCATAAAGCAATCTTTTTAGAATCTCTTGAAGCGACCGAGGACTACACACTGAGACTCATGGTCTAGGAATCGGCCCCCGATCAAACCCCCCCCCCCAGGCAAACTAAGCCTCCCAATCCGACGTGGTCGCTTAATTGGTACTAGACCAAACTGTGAGGATAAAAGCAGTCACATACGTGCTCAGATCGGCACTATGATTCTTAACCTAAGTCGAATGAAGGGGCGCG